CATGTGCGCTGGAAGAAAAGGGGGGCAAGGGCGAGGCGGGAGAGTGGACTTACGCTGGCAAGCAGAAGGACGACGGCTGTCTTGTACTCGGGGACCGGGATGTCGCTGCAGAGCAGGATGATGGTGTAAATAAAGATGAAGGCCCCGACTGAATGAAACAAAGCTCGCGGAGCTGCACTGATCGTAGCTCCTTCGCTTCGAGACATTGTGGATGTTCGATGACCCGTTGGGTGGGTTTGTGAGTGGTGTGTGTGTGTGGTGGGACGCGGTTGTTGACAGCAGCAAATTGAGCTGGGGAATACCAGACGTATTTATCCTCAAGCAGCTTTTGCGTACCCTCAGCCGGCAACCTTGGTTAGCGAAGGGCTGGACTTTGTGAAGGAAACAGTAAGTTGTAATTACGGCTAAATTATGGAGACTAAATAAACACCCACATCAGCTTACAATATGTGACGGTTTGTGCCATGATCGATGATGGACCGCCATTAAAACGCACTGAACACGCGCCGAACAGTCAAATCCCTTTTTTCTTTCCCTTTTTCCTTAGAATAAAATGATGCATTTCTTTCTAATCTAGGGAAGAAAGGAAAGAGGGGATTCCGGTGTTCGGCGCGCGTTCAGCGCGCCTTGATCATGGTCCCTCGTGGGTTCTCGTCTGTGGGTCTTAACCCAAATCGTCACAACGGGTGCTTACAAATTTATATTCGTTATATTATTTCCGGAATTTTCCGTAAACTTACCTTTTTATCGTATTTGTATGCAATATTAATAATAGACCTGTTGGTGAAGGAGGTTTTGGGGGCCAATCTGTACTGTATTGATGTCACAGATTATGTACCGGTGCAGGGCAGCTACAGTTGTAAGCCACCGCCGCAAGCGGGGAAGCGCCCAGGGGGCGCACGTGGCCCGCCTCCTCTCTACACGGTACGGCGGGAGTTAAAACCGTCCCTCACTGTTCGTTCTTGGCCCCTCTTAGGAGGAGGGCCAAGAATCAGCAAGGAAGCCACAGCATCATCTTAGACGGCAGGCGGCTGCAGCACTGCCTTTTGAATACGAGCCTTGTTGGTCCTGTGGACCTGACCGTACCCAACTAGACTGCATGCTGAGGAGTCTGTGACAGCAACCACCTGTTGGTCGGCTCGGGAACTCTGCCCCTCATTTAGATACGTACCGTAGACCTCGCACGGGCCACTCTCCTTCCCGTGCGAATCGTTCTGTTGGTGTTGTGAGTCGGATTTATCACGCCCCGAACTCTATGTATGTACCGTGTGACCACGAAGGTATACGGGATCCTTCTTGTGGGTCTGCCTGCTAGCATGCACGTCAGTACCACCTGCAAGGCTCATGCCTCAATTCTTGGCTCCCCCACCCTGCTCGCTTGGCATTTCCTTGGCCGCTTCATTATTACATGGATCCCTTGTGGTCAGGGTTTAAAAGCCGGAAAGTGCTTACGCGCACCTGCGGTTAAATAACGGATCCACATCTTGGCAGTTGTATCCAAACGGGGGCTTGGGTGGCAGTGGCATTTTGTGTGGGGCCTTCCCTAGCATGTTGTGTGCCAAGCCGCACAGACATATACGAGCATTTCAGGTTGCACTCGCCAAGGCAACTTCTAAGATACACCCCTGTATTGGCCAGGCCCCCAGTGTAACGATTGGGATGAACCTTCCCCACTACGCTACACACCCACAAAAGGGTACGATGCCAAGTCACACGTGTGGCTTGACATTGAGGTTCATATAGGCGCGTGCGACGTCGACCCCAGCCGACCGTCACACCTGTCACAATAGATCCCTGTAGCAATCATGCTGCCAAGAAAGCCAAGATGAAAGGGTAAAAAAAAAGTCGAAAATTGCCGCATAAGCTGTGCTAGGCATCGGCGCTATTGTATTGCCACCCTATTATAATCGCTGCCCTCAAACAGGCGACAGGGAACATGTTGCTATGCACCACAACCTAGTGGGTTTTGCTAAGCGCCCGGTGAGCGAGCAAGTACCTTGCTTCCCGCCCCACCATTCCAACCGAGATTGGCACCCCCTCCCCCCGGACGGAGTGTATATCCCCCATAACGCGCAGACCATCCCTCCCCAGCCCTTTGGGCGGATTCCACCCGCAAAACACTAGCCTCATACAGACACGCCCCCCTTACCTGCGGCCCATTGAAATCTTTGCGGTTAACACTTCTTTTAATCCTTTTTCAAGTTTCCACCCTTGAGCGCTAGCCTTCCCCGGACATGCCCGCGGTGCTATATCCTGTCCCTCGTGTTTTTTTTCTTTTTTCCAACGTGTACCACGCTTCGCACCACCCCGTGCCCATTACACCTCCATACGCCCCAAAGCTCACACCCCCATACACCCTATAGCTTACACCCCCACACACCCACAACTTACACCCCCATACACCCACAGCTTACACCCACAGCTCACACCCCCATACACCCACAGGTTACACCCCCATACATCCCACAGCTTACACCCTCGATGTTCGCCCAGAGCTGACCGACGAAGGCGCTGAACGTTCCGGGGGGGACCCGGACACCGTACTCCGCTAGCCTTTTCGCTTGCGCCCCGCCATCACCACAAACACCAGCACTACAAAAGCACCCGCCAAAAACGATAGGAGCGACCGGGAAGCAAAACTAACCTGAGGGAGAAGGGAAGGAAAGAAGGGATTCCGGTATTCGGCACGCGTTTAGCGTGTTTTGATAATAGTCCACCGTGTGGGTCCTGGTTAGTGGGTCGGGGCCTGTGGGCCTTGACCCAGATCGTTACATTCAGAACGACTTGGAGGGAAGGATTCGCATGTTCCGCCCATTTTTTGCTTGGCAGAGAAGCAAGGTTGTATGCCAAGGTCGCCAAGGCCCAGGGCCTGTCAATCGAACTGAGGCGTTGAACATGGCTAGGAT